TCCCTCTTTTCTCCCTGTCTCCCTCCCTTGTCTCCTATTCCTCTGTCTGTCTGTTTCTATTACTTTGTGATTTCTTGACAACTGTTACATCTAGCAAATGTTTCTTTTTACAGAGTATGGTGTCTGTGAAAACTTGCGAAAGCTGGAGATCACCGGTGTGTCTTGTCGAGACGTCTATGCGAAGCGTAAGTTAATCTAATGTCATCCATCATTAACTTCGTTCCAAGAGCAGACACCTTGAGCATCAACGATGGATAATAAATTGACTGAAAACCCAGTTCTGTTCTCTGACACCTTAATTTTAATGTCATAATTGATATTTTATTTATTTATTTTAAAGATATTTTTGTTGATTTTTAGAGAGCAGAAGGGAGAGGGAGGGAGAGAAACGGCGATGTGAGAGCAAAACATCCATCTGCCGCCTCTTGCACACCCCTCCTGGGAATCGAGCCTGTGACGCGGGCGTGTGCCCTGACCAGGAATCGAACCAGCAACCTTTCGGTGCACAGGACAATGCCCAACCAACCGAAGCACCTGGGTCAGGGCGTAATTCACATTTTATAGACAGCACTGGTAGTAATAGCCCTAAAATGGGGTGGGAGCCTCTCTTCTCTCCCATTTTGGGCATGTCAGTACCCTTAGTTTTCAGCCCATCACCGGATATTAGGTGTTAAGGACCTTTAGATCTGAGAAACATGTCTGCACTGGGAGCAGACTCTGGGGTGCTTCCAGAGGGGTCTCTTTCTCTGGATTCTGGGTCCATAGCCTACCTGGATGTGCGGATGGCTGATAGTGACTGGGAAATGAAGCCGTGAGCCTCCCACTGATTCCTTCAGCTGACAGGGCTGCCTGTGGGCCTGCTCCTGCCTTCAGCCTGGCACTGGGCTCCAGTCCTTTGGTTCAGCCTTCCCTTCAGATTCCTCTAGAAGTGTGAACCCCCGCAGCCTCCCATTTCAGTTCTTTGCTCCTTTACTTTCCAGAGCCGTCATCAACATTCCGTGAGTGCTCCGAGTTTCCCTAGCCCCAAATATCTTCCCAGCTGGCCTTTCCTCTGTGCCCCTTTACAGGAGGCTGTGAAGGCTCCTGCTAACGCCAGTGTTGCCCAGGAGCAGCAGAGTCACAGGGAGCAGCTGAGTCACAGGGAGCAGCCTGCTCATTCACCACCCCATTGGGATGTGGCGTGTATTATTAGCACCCAGGGCTGGAGATTAAAGAACACAGTGAGAAAGATAATAGTGACCCACGTCTCTTTGGCCTAAAGGTGACCTGTTGACCTCTCTGAAAAGGACTTTTGAGTGTTCATCTTAAAACTATCTTAGAAGTTTTTGGTTTTCATATTATTTTGAACTTCCTACCCAGTTCTCCATTGAAAGCAGACCAGGCGATATCTGCTTACCTAGTACCATACTCAGGAACTGAGGGCCATGCTTCTCCAAGGAAGCATCTGTGGTGCAGGACCACGGAGTAGGCAGGTCATGGGGCTTCACTGTGGGCCAGGCTGCTGACTGCGCCCTGAAGTGCTCCAGGGCTTTCTTCCAGGGCCTGGGGCTAGTTGGGGTCACTCTCTGTATTTCATCCTTTCCGTGCATCTGTTCCTCCAAGAGTGCCCTTCTGAGTCGCCCCCCCTTCACGTGGCTGTGCTCCCAGCACAGGCAGAGCATGGCACTTCGGCAGAGCGCTGACGGCGGGGGGAGGCAGGCCACTGCCCCATATCTGGGCCGATTTCATCGTCTCATCCTTTCTTATCCCATCAGAGACTCTCCACACTGTGATCCCATGGCCACTTGCGAGTGTTGGATTGGTGAGTGTTTCTGGGTTAGAATTTGCTGACACTTGGGGCGATTTCCTGTCAAAAGGCTCTGAGTTCTCCGCAGGCCTTCCTCTTCCATGCTCAGTTCTTGGTGGTTTGACCGTGCCCTCCGAACTCTTGTCCTCTCCCACCTGCCTCAGGGAGCCTTGGAGAGGCTGCTCTTGGCACCCCTCGGCCCTGCCACATTTCACCCCCAGTTCCGCCAACTCCTAGCACCTCTCCTCCCCCCTTCTGTGGGCCTCAGGCTTCACCTTTGCCCCCAGCCACTGCCGCCTGTGCTGCTGTCCCCAGCCCTGGGCCCCACTGCAGGGCGGATCTCCTCCCCCGTGCGCTCTCAGGCTTTGATTTCTTCTCCTGCCTCTGCTTCACATCCCACCAAGCCTGGACTGACCACGTGTGTGTCTCCAGAGAAAGTGAGTCTGGGAGGCCTGAGGGGTCGTCTCTCATGGAGGTGGGACCCTTCTTGTCCTCTCATCCCCTTGGCGAAAACAGCGCCTCTATGATTCCTGCAAAGCCCCGCGTTGCAGGGGCAGGAAGCTGGCTGCCCTGCTCTCCTCCTGCCCTTACCCTGTTGTCCTTGCTCCGCCCTCGGCTCCTCCGTTGTTTGTCCAGAGCTCAGTGTCCTGAGTCTAGCCAGAGTGGAGAGCTGGAAGAATTCACTCTTGCTGTGGGCATTGGTGTTAGAGTCAGAACCAACTTCTCGCCGCAACAGTCTGTGTACATACGCACAAGAAAGGTTTCCTGGCTCTTGGGGCTGGCCAGCTGGCTTTTATGAGTATCCAATACGACAGATTCTTCGTTAACTGCATTTTGGGTTTTGTTAGGCCATTTGATGATACTGTCTTAAAGCTGCATGAAGACTGTTCTCTCTTTAAGAGCTGTGAGCACTCAAAATAGTGTCCAGGAGAGGGGCAGGTGCTCACGTCTGCCAGGCATTAGGGACTATGACACCCAGAGGACAACACACCTTACCTGGTAAATAAGGACCCCATGGAGTTCGTCTCAGCTGTGGGTGGAGAGGGTTGGTCGGGCCCTGCTGGTGGCTGTCCTGTAGAGGGGACACCTGGGCACAGGTGGGCAGGCAGGTGGTATGTGTACACACACACCCAGGGAAAAGCCCCGAGACTGAAAAACCTACCTCCATAAGCCGGGAAAAGACCAAAGATAGAAGCTGTCTACTCCAGTCTGGTGGTGAAAGGAGCTTATTTGGGGAAACCTACAGAAGAGCATGTCTTGGGCAGCTGCAAGACGAAATGGGTCCCAGCGCCACTTGGCAGGCACCAAAGAATTACACGGGGTAGAGGGGCATAGTCACAGGTACTAGTACGTGAATGCTACCAGGTGCGGGAAATTACTTCCCATGCTTGACCAGGTCAGGACACAGTCTGTTCCAGAAACCAGCACATATCAGGAAGCAAGGGAGGGTGCTGATTTATATCTGAATGGACATCACTTACGATCAGACAGTTTCTAAGGGAGAGTTGCAGAAAGCAACTGTTCTGGCTCCTGTGCAGCTTTCAGTACAGAGAGCGGTCATGTCAAGGAACAGCCTCTTCTCTATAGGTGGGTAGTGACTGCCGAGGAACAGGAGACGGTATGGCCAGGGGTAAATGAGGTGGGCAACAGAGAGGGGACCAGGGCCGTGGTGAGGTGAACACACCTGCATGCGGGGACATGGGCAGACAGAGGGGGGCGTCTGGAGGTTTCGACTGCTCATTCTTGACCCCTTGAAAACAGGTGTGAAGCGCAGAGACTAGTTCATATTATCTTTCGTATCCCAAAGTGTTTAATTTGCCACCAGCCAAAGCAGGTTTCACAGCGCAGGGGCATGTTTGTGAGTTTGCGTTGAAGGCTTTATCCAGGAGAAAATTACTTAGCTTCTGGATTAGGCAGCAGAAGAAAGTCAGCCTCAGCCCCTGGCATGGGTGGAGGAGTGAGCCAGCCTTGAGTCAGGAGCTGGCATGTGTTGCCCGTTGTCCAAAACAAAACACAAGCAAAGGAAAACACTAGGCATACACTATACAAGCTGAATATCTTAGTTGGGGCACCAGGGTTCCCTAAACAGTCATTCCAGGTATGCACAAGCCGAGCCCTCTGCTCTCCTGCCTCTGAGCTCCATTGATCCAGGACAGTCCAGGGAGGAGAGTGAGCCTGGAGAGTGTTCCAGGCTTGGGGCCATCATGATTTTCTAGTGTGAATCCGTTGATTAAAAGGAACATGTATCACAACGTTTTCTTTCTAGCCAAGCCTCTCATTTTTGTCAAGTGCTTGCCTCCCAAGGTACCTGGGGTCGACTACGATGGGGGTGAGGGAAGAGGGTGCTGAGTCACGTGAAAACTGTTTTATACCCTCGTGAAAGTGGAACCATCATTAGCCCTTTCCCTGCTGTGTCCGTTCAGGTATAAATCCTCGCGTGAAGTCGGGACGTTTCATGAAAATTCTTCCCGATTACGAGCACATGGAGTACAGAGATGTGTACACCTGCCGTATGTACCTCCTGCTACTTTGGCTTTGGCGGGGGAGCCCAGCAAGAAGCTGCATGGAGAGGGCCCTCTAACTCACAGCACGCAGATGCTTTGGTCCTGAGAGTGAGCTGACCTCCTTGGCTTTTGCTGTCTTTTCCCCTTTCTGCAGCGTTCTCTGTGGCTCAGCCAGGACCTGGATCACACCTGAGCGGTGGCCTGGGGCAGCTGTACATATGGGCCAGGTTTCTGCGGCATCTTTTGGTTTTTTTGGGTGGTACCAGCACTATCACTCTATTAATGCACATTTTCTTCTTTTAAATTTACCTTTATTGTTGAAAGTGTTACAGATGTCCCCTTTTTTATGTTGATGTGCATTTTAACATTTATCATTTCTTGAGACTGAGAGGACAGAACAGAATAGAAGCCTTAAAACCTTTCTATTCCAAAATGAAATGTAATTGGTCTACATCTAGGCTTCATTAGTCGATTGTGTTTGGACAGCACACGTGAATTTGAAAAAATTACATACACATGCATCTGTATACACAGATGAGACAAAAGTATGCAGAAACAGTTGAATGTTTAGAACCTGATTCCTCTTGATAGGGCTCTGGAAATTTTCCTAAGTCATATTGCGTAGTGATTAAGGCTAGCTCCGTTTTTTATTAGGTTGAGCTGAGATGGAGAGCGTGAATTTAGGATCTCAGGAAAGATATTAAAAATATCTACTTGCACTAAAAGCAGTTTTTCCGTTAGTAGAAGTACAGGGACACCCCTGCTGCTTACTACGTCAGCCGCGCTGAATGTGCCTTGTGTCAGCATCACCTGTGTGGACTAAACCCACTTCTGAATCTTTTAAGTGCACAATTCCTAATAAAACCTACTCAGACCACAAGGAAGAGAGTCATTTATGGAATTTCTCCTAACCCCTTCCAGGCTCTGGACATGTCGCTTAAGTGCTCGCTGGCCCCATTTTACTTACTCCAGGGGATGTGGAGATGCCAGGACTGGGCAGCAAGCTTTGGGGTGGTGTCTGAGCACTGTGCATGACTGTGAACACTACCCACAGTGTTTGTGTAATCAGGCCCAGAGCCGAACTGCTTGAGTGAAGACCAGTGGTGAGGGGGGCTTGTCAGGAGTGTGTGTGAGCAGCCAGGAGTGTGTGAGCAGTAGAGGAGGAGCTGGGGGGGGTGGCTGTGGCTGGATGGCAAGGGGGTACAGCGGGCCAAGTCTGAAGGCATGAATTCTGTTCTTTTCCAAACCCTCTTAGAAGTAGCCTCTCTAGAACATTTTGTCCTAGACTAACCTACCCTCCCTGCTTATCAGTCAGTGAGCCAAGGTGCCTTCTCCAGGCCCGTGGGAGAGAATGGGAGAGAATGTGACGTAGTGCTTATTGATGAGAACAATTGATCAGTCACCACTGCTGTGCTAATGGGGACAGCCTGGCATGGGCTTTTAAATACAAATGGACAAGCACTTAGAAGCTCATTACATCATACATTTGCAGCAAGATTCTTCTAGAGCAACAGTCTATCTGGAATTCTGACCCACCTCTGGGAGGTGGCCAAAACCTAGGAAGTGCCTAGAATTGTCTGGGGGGGGGGGGTTTTTT